TAAAGTCACTCAAAAATTTTCATCCAACAGGAAAAATTCATAAATCCTTCTGCAGAGCCCTCCGAAATGGCTCCAAAGAGGACATACACCTCAAAACAAGAAAAAAACTCAATGCATTATCCTTGATTAATATAAATAATAACTCAAACTGGTGTAACATATGTGCACTAATCACTCAAAATAAAACGTGACCACATATGTGATAGTGAACACTTGTGCAGCAGTGATAGTGGAACACACTGAGTTTTATGTAAATTTTACAGTTACATTGTTTCAGCTTGGACCAATGTAAAGTATGTATACCCAGATGGTGCCAGCATAAGGCTGCTTAACTGATAGAGACAGCTTTGCAGCCGCCTTAGGGTGCCAGTATGGGGGGGTGGTAAGATCTGAATCCTTTGTAGATCTAAATTGCTGGGGATTCAGTTGATTAAAAAAAAAATACCTGTTTTCTATTCCCTAACGCTGTGCCCTCTCTCCTGGCACAGCGCAGAATTTGTAGTTTGCCTCACCTGCAGGGGCGGACTGACAACTCATGGGGCCCCCAGGCATTAGGGGATCATGGGGCCCCTGTGTCCTTGCCCACACTCAAAGCACACCCAAATAAGCCTATAAAAAGGTACCAGGGGCATTTCATGGGGCCCCTTACTGACCCGAGTGCTCGAATGGTCAGTCCACCCCTGCTCACACCAGTGAGGGGAATGCATGACCCCACCCCCTCATTACATTGCCATTTAATGTCTCTGAAGAAGCCCATAAGACGTAGTGGGCGAAACGCGTCAACGTCACCTCCTGGACACGCTGGCACATGCGCAGCCCTGCGGAGTGGCTCAGTCAGACTGCAGCACCTGACATCCATACATTTTCTCTGTGGAGCCACGGCTATCCTTACAGCATGTACGGCTGCCATCCTTAGCCACTATATTGCACCGCTATATGCAGTATGTCATATATCAATCCTTGCCTATCATCATGGCATGTTTTTGACTATCAACAGGAGTTTGACCCAGCAGTGGCTGATAAGCTTTCCCTACATTGGGAGGATCCTCACTTGCTAACACACAGGATTCAACTTCACTGACCTCAGCAACTATCTCTGCATGGGCTATAGGTCTGAGGATGATTATCAGCTGCTACAGGTTTGCCACAAGCTTTCCACTTTATTATACCTGTATTATTTAAGGACTTTTATTGAACTGGGTCTCTATCTGATAATCTCCTGTGCTCCGTTATTCAAGGCATTTATATATTATGCATACTACTGGCTCCACCAAACAATTATTCCATCTGCATGATACATGTTTACATAACAATCATTGACTGGCCAAAAGATCCCTGGGATATTGGGCATATTATGCCATATATTGCCATTTGTCTTGCCATCATCTAACCACTCTTGATATATTATAGAGGTGTATTCTACATAACTCTGCATTACAAGCCTATTATCACGGCACTTTGGGGCTGGCAACAGGAATCTGACCCAACAGTGGCTGATAGCTTTCCCTATATTGGGAGGATCTTCACCTGTTAACACACAGGATTCAACTCCACTGACCTCAGCAACTATCCCCACATGGGCTACAGGTCGGTTGATGACTATTAGCTGTTACAGGTTTGATACAAGCTTTCCACTTTACCATATCTGCATTTGTTGTGGACTTTTACTGAACTGGGTCTTCACCTGACAACCCCTCGTGCTTCAAGTATCCAAGGCATCTATATATTATGCATATTATGGGCTCCACCAAGCTATTATGCCATCTGTATGATACATGTCTACATGATAATCATTGACTGTCTAAATGACCTTTGGGAAATTGGGCATATTATGTCATATATTGCCATTTCCCTTCCATCATCAAACCACTCTTGCAATATTGAGGAGATGTATTCTATATAATTTTGCACCACAAGCCTAACCGCATATTTTCGATGAGAGATCTGTAATACTTTCATACTTTACCTGATACCTAAGGAATGACCTTCAGCTCTTTACCCTGATACTATGGATTATATCAGTTATTTTTGATGGTTGCATCAAGGATCATGTTTATCTAGATTGATTATTATGCACTTCTCGTGTATGTTTATGTGATTTATACATGAATCCTGTACTTGGTACTCACCATACCTTCTTGAGCTATCTATATCATCACCTGCTTGTCATCTTCACTGTCTTGTTCAAATTTTGAGACTATACTATTCATCACAGGTCTACTATTCATCACATCTTTATGGGACTTTTTGCATGTCTAGTGTTGTCCAGGTTGATCTTGCCATTCTGCTTTTGACTTTATTTCCCCCTGGGTGGTGGTGAGGTAATTTTTTGTGTAATTTTTTGTATATTTTGGCTTATCATGCCATATATATCTTTGTGATATTTGTACTTTTTTTTACTGCAAATTAAATTATTTTTGTTTACTATTTGGTTTTCAAGGCTGCAGTTTGTCCTCATTTGGACCCCCTTTTTGGCCTCTGGGTCCTTTACCCTCTGGTTTTTTTCTCTTTATTTTACCCTGTGTCCTTGCTCACACTCAAAGCACACCCAAAAAAACCTATAAAAAGGTACCAGGGGCATTTCAGGGGGCCCCTTACTGACCCAAGTGCTCGAATGGTCAGTCCGCCCCTGCTCACCTGCCTCACCTGCAGCCAGTAAGGGGAATGCATGACCCCACCCCCTCATTACATTGCCATTTAATGTCAGTTCAGCACAGCTCAAATTTTCAATGCTGTGTGATGTCCTGCACGCTGCGCCCCATCACATTATGGTGGTGGTTATGGCAGCAAAATTCACCTTCATCTGTTCAGACAAAAATCCTTACAGCAGCCCTGTATTTGTGTGCCATACCTGCAGTATTGCCTAGGTACTGCTACTACTACAGTGATTACTGTTACCTTCAGGGTTTCATGTTGAGTGGCTGTCCTACTGCACTGTGAACACATGGGCGCCATTCAAAGAACACTTTGCAAGTTCTCAAAGAATGCAACACATTCTCTGATTGGATGAGGTGGAGAGGCTGGCAGTGACATCACAATCTCTCCTCTCTTGTCCAATCAGAGAAAACTTTGCATTCATAGGAAATTGCAAACTGTTCTCTAAATACCCGTGTTCAGTAAGTAGCATGGCAGATGCTTGGCTTGGGACTTTTGAAGCTAGCAGCGATCACTTTAGTAGCAGTTTCTACTACAGTGATTTCCATCTTCCTCGGGGATCCCACAGGTATGGCACATATTGTACATACTTACATTGGTCCACCTGAGTATAATGTAAGTATGTATGTGCCATACCTATAACTATACAAAAATTGTCATACCTAAACTTCTGATTTATAGTATTCATTGTAGCTAAAGTGGACTTTTACTCCAAAATACTCCTTTAACCGCTTCAATACTGCTGTACATATATATATGGCCTGGTCTAGAAGCAGTTATACCGGGACCATGGTTGAGGCTACATCCATGATCCTGGTATCATGTTTAGTGCCAGCAATTTTCTTTTATGTAAAAGTATTCTGAGCAGCTATGCAGCTGCTGGATTGCTTTTCTAAGTGGCAGAACTGGGTCCCACCCCTCTCCTGCCACTGTCTTTACCGGGCTCTCCCATGTGATCAGGGAGCCCGGTAAAGATGCATCTGGCAGCATTGTCTCCCCCAGACTCAGTGGAAGGAACTGATGTTGTTCCTCCCACTGTGTAACATCAGAAACCGGAAGCGACAAGGATTTTGGGATTCAGTCCTGCATTTACTTGCCAGGTACTGGCAAGTGAAGCAGCCGATTAGACCGATCTGTGTCTGGTTGGCTGCATTGGAGGCCAGAGGGGAGATCTGGGGACTAATAGAGAACCCTACAATGCATATGTGCAATCATATGAGCTGGATCTAAGAAGTTATGAAGAGTGAGACAGCTCCTGGTGACAGAGGAAAAGAAGATGTCAGGGCAGGATGCAGTGTGCAGAAGCAGAATAGCAAAGCCCTACAGAACAGCCCTGATTTGCTGGCCAGGCAAGTATGTTTCTTGAGTACAACCCAGCAATAAAAAGTAGAAGGGGACAGATGAAAAAAAATGAAGCTGGGGTATGGGGGCTTGGAGGTAAAGATCCTATTGTAGACTGAATTTGCACCAAACACAAATTTTAATTAAAATTTTTTAATCAAATCTGTGGTTGATACATTTTGGCATGGAACTATAATGCCCTTCACATCCTTTGTTATCTGTCTTCAGTCAAATGAAAAACATTTTTTTCTTCTGACATTAAAAATTTGGGGGCTACTGCTGGTCAAACAGACCTGACATCACTTGATGAATCTATATATGTTAATACCAAAACTATCAGAGAAATGTATATTTTCTGTCACAAATTAATCACATCATAGAAGATCTACCGTTGCTTGTAAACAAAGCTAATTGCAAAAAAAAAAAAAATGTAAATTTAAGGATTTGTGTAATGCCCATGTCATCCTTGAAGTATTATGCAATGGCAGGGGAACCTGGGAAATACATAAACACATGCCATTTGTGTGACAATAGGTTGTCTAGCAGCCCTGCAAAAGGCAACCAGTGACCATCAAAAATGGTCCTCTATTAACATTAATGCAATTCAAAACTTCAAAAATGAATGTTGAGTCAAATTTTGGAATTTCTCATCACTAATCTATTGTGACTTTTAAAAAAATGTTCTGCTGTTGCTGATAGGAACTGTAGGCACAAAGGAATACTGTCTCTATGGATATTCCTCCACCAGCTGTAGACAACTCTAGACGCATCCCCATGGTGAGAAGCAATTTGAATATATCCCACTGGGCACAAGGGATACTACAAAAAAATGAGGAGTAACATTATAACAAAGGTAATAAATATTGTTTATTGCTTCTCTACGCTGTCAAATGTGTCATAAATATTCTGTATCCCTTGAAGCACAGTGCACTGTTTTTTATTAATACTCTTCCCCGTTTGAGATGCTTCTGTACACGGCTGCTTTAGAATTTCTGATTGCTCACCTTATGTTTTCGTAGCAACTACCTTCTGGTTTTAATATTGCAGTGTGTCGAAAAACTTTGTAGATAATCACACCAAAGGCCATCAAATTAACCTGCAAAATAAAAGAAGGACATATAAATGGCGTATAAAGACAACACTGTGGATCCTAATACAGGCTGCCAAGATCATCTTATAGGGGATTTACTGTTCAATGAATTATTTTGTTTTAAGGCAGGAATCTTGAAGCCGTGAGATCTTAGCAATGCTCTTGTACAGATTGGTGCAGGGTGCTACTGCAACTGAGAGACACAAGAATAGGTTAAGTATCCCCTATGGGGACTTTGGTTTTTAGCATGGATGAGTTAAAGTGATAGGCTAGGAACAGTGCTATCAAGAAGTGAGGGGAAAGCTCTCCAACAGGGATACAGACAGCTTTTAAAAAACCTAAACTAGATGGAAGAGCCAGCACTCAACTAATCGACCTCAGCATTTTAATGAGGCCATTTTGCAAGATCAATACACAAAAATGCAGAGTAAACTGTAACACACCCTTGTTTCTGGGCCACAATGGACCCCTTTTTCAAGGTGGTGGCCCATAAATGTATTGTGTTATGGTCTACTCTGCATTTTTTCATATCGCTGTTGCCAAATTACCTCATTAAAATCCTGAGGTTGATAGGTTGAGTGCTGGCTCTCTCTTCTATTTGTTGTTGATGGTGTCCTAGTTACTTATGCACTCTTGACAAAGGAACAAAAGCGTGTGGTGCTGGATGGATTTGATGCAAAGCATTTAAAACCTGTCATAGACAATGTGATTTTCTTTTCAGCAATCATGGGTTGCAGGAAAGAAAATTGCTTGATTCCCCCATTGACACAGTCAGTGTTGATGGGAAATCCCTCCCACGGAGCTATTGTGCTCACCCAGAGGGGGGGAGCTGTCCCTGCTGGGGGAACACAGTGTTTATTGCTAGAGATGAGCGAATCGAACTCGGCGAAGTGGAATTCGTTTCGAATATTAGGAAAAATTTGATTCGCACCGAATCCGAATATTAGAAAACTTCGGATACGCGAATCGAATTTTTCCCGATCGGCCGATTTTCATCCCTTCTACAGCCGGCAAAAAGTGTCCCTGCAGAGAGCTCCGCTATTTCTGACAGTTCTCTGACAGTTCCTTCACATTTACAGCGGTTGAAACATTGTATCTATTTGTTTCCATTTAGGATACAGATGTTTTTATTCGGAAACAAATAGATACAATGTTTCAACCGCTGTAAATGTGAAGGAACTGTCAGAGAACTGTCAGAAATAGCGGAGCTCTCTGCAGATACACTTTTTGCTGTACTGGAATTCTTCTTTTCATTCTTCTTTTCATTCTCTCTTCTTCTTCTTCTTTTCATCTTCTTCTTCTTCTTCTTCTTTTCATTCTTCTTCTTCTTTTCATTCTTCTTCTTCTTCTTCTTCTTCTTTTCATTCTTCTTCTTCTTTTTCATTCTTCTTCTTCTTCTTTTCATTCTTCTTCTTTTCATTCTTCTTTCTTCATTCTTTCTTCTTCTTTTCATTCTTCTTTTCATTCTTCTTCTTCTTTTCATTCTTCTTCTTCTTCTTCTTCATTCTTCTTTTCATTCTTCTTTTCATTCTTCTTTTCATTCTTTTCATTCTTCTTTTCATTCTTCTTTTCATTCTTCTTCTCATTCTTCTTTTCATTCTTCTTCTTCTTCTTCTTCTTCTTTTCATTCTTCTTCTTTTCATTCTTCTTCTTCTTCTTTTCATTCTTCTTTTCATTCTTCTTCTTCTTTTCATTCTACTTCTCATTCTTCTTTTCATTCTTCTTCTTCTTCTTTTTCATTCTTCTTCTTCTTTCATTCTTCTTCTTCTTCTTTCATTCTTCTTTTCATTCTTCTTCTTCTTCATTCTTCTTCTCTTCTTTTCATTCTTCTTTTCATTCTTCTTTTCATTCTTCTTCATTCTTCTTCTTTTCTTCTTCTTCTTTTTCATTCTTCTTTTCATTCTTCTTTTTTCATTCTTCTTCTTCTTCTTTTCATTCTTTTCATTCTTCTCATTCTTCTTTTCATTCTTCTTCTTTTCTTCTTCTTCTTCTTCTTTTTCTTCTTTTCATTTTTCTTCTTCTTTTCATTCTTCTTCTTCTTCTTTTCATTCTTTTCTTCTTTTCATTCTTCTTTTCATTCTTCTTCTTCTTCTTTTCATTCTTCTTTTCATTCTTCTCATTCTTCTTTCTTTTCATTCTTTTTCTTCTTTTCATTCTTCTTTTCATTCTTCTCATTCTTCTTTTCATTCTCTTTTCATTCTTCTTCTTCTTCTTTTCATTCTCTTCTTCTTTTCATTCTTCTTCTTCTTCTTTTCATTCTTTCTTCTTCTTTTCATTCTTCTTTTCATTCTTCTTTTCATTCTTTTTCATTCTTCTTTTCATTCTTCTTCTTCTTCTTTTTCATTCTTCTTTTCATTCTTTCTTCTTCTTCTTTTCATTCTTCTTCTTTCTTCTTTTCATTCTTCTTTTCATTCTTCTTCTTCTTCTTTTCATTCTTCTTCTTCTTCTTTTTTTCATTCTTCTTCTTCTTCTTCTTCATTCTTCTTTTCATTCTTCTTCTTCTTTTTTCATTCTTCTTTCATTCTTCTTCATCTTCTTTTCATTCTTCTTCTTTTCATTCTTCTTCTTTTTTTCATTCTTTTCATTCTTCTTTTCTTCTTCTTCATTCTTCTTCTTTTCATTCTTCTTCTTTTTCATTCTTCTTCATTCTTCTTCTTCTTCTTTTCATTCTTCTTTTTTCATTCTTCTTTTCTTCTTTTCATTCTTCTTTTCATTCATTCTTTCTTTTCATTCTTCTTCTTTTCATTTCTTCTTCTTCTTCTTTTCATTCTTCTTTTTTCTTCTTTCTTCTTTTCATTCTTCTTCTTCTTCTTCTCATTCTTCTTTTCATTCTTCTTCTTCTTCTTTTCATTCTTCTTTTCATTCTTCTTTTCATTCTTCTTCTTCTTTTCATTCTTCTTCTTCATTCTTCTTTTCATTCTTCTTCTTCTTCTTTTTTCATTATTCTTCTTTTCATTCTTCTTTTCATTCTTCTTCTTCTTTTCATTCCTCTTCTTCTTTTCATTCTTCTTTTCATTCTTCTTCTTCTTCTTTTCATTCTTCTTTTCATTCTTCTTCTTCTTCTTTTCATTCTTCTTTTCATTCTTCTCATTCTTCTTTTCATTCTTTTCATTCTTCTTCTTCTTCTTTTCATTCTTCTTCTTCTTCTTCTTTTCATTCTTCTTTTCATTCTTCTTCTTCTTCTTTTCATTCTTCTTCTTTTCATTCTTCTTCTTCTTCTTTTCATTCTTCTTTTCATTCTTCTTCTTCTTTTCATTCTTCTTCTTTTCATTCTTCTTCTTCTTCTTTTCATTCTTCTTCTTTTCATTCTTCTTTTCATTCTTCTTCTTCTTCTTTTCATTCTTCTTCTCATTCTTCTTTTCATTCTTCTTCTTCTTCTTTTCATTCTTCTTCTTCTTCTTTTCATTCTTCTTTTCATTCTTCTTCTTCTTCTTTTCATTCTTCTTCTTCTTCTTCTTCGTCGTGCCCCGTGACTGCCCAAATGAGTGAAGTGTGCGGTGATTCTAAGATCGACGGCACTCATCTGCATGTCATACTGACTGACAGTATTATTTCTCTTCCCCAGCAGACTCCAAGGGCATTTAAATTAAAGGTACAGTGTTCTGCACTAATATGAAGCCTAGAAACCCTTTAAATAAGTTAAATTCGCAGCGAATAAATTCGCATCGAATCGAATTTCTTCCGCAAATTCGGCGAATCAGCCGAATCAAATTTTTGAATAATTCGCTCATCTCTATTTATTGCTATTGGCTATAGCTGCTATCAATAATTGCATGAAAAACCTGACATGCTGATTGTACACAAGTCCTATAAAAATTTAATTGGGTACAATCAACCTGCCCATAGATGGTTCAAATTTCGGGCAGTCTCTCCCGAACCGGCTGAGATTCGAACCATTTATGGAGGGCTTGAGGTTCACACTTTTGTCTGCTCTATCCAAAAGAAAATATGTTTGGTTGGTGTTTGCCTTTGTCATGACCTTTTTTGGCTATAAAGGCCACAATGTGTGTTTCTTTCATTTAGTTTCACTTCACTTAATCTTTCCTCCAGTTGTCATCCATCACCATGTGTAATGAGACAGCCTGCATAACAATTGGGGGCACTCTCATGGAAAAGAAAAATGGCAGTCAACCCACCCAAAGCAGAGATGACAAATGCAGTTACACTGGGTACAGAATACTTTGCATTTAGCACAGGATTGTTAGTTTTGGGCACTGTTACTCTTCTCCACTAAGGTTAAGTCTGTCTGTTGAGATGCTGAGGATAGATTTAAGGATTAGCATTGAAAATAAAGTGTTTTTTCTCTGTTTTTGAAAGCTAAAAACCCAATGCCAAATGATATCAGTGCTGACTCTTTGGCATTGAAATCTACATAGTGGAATTTGTCTGTAACGTCTGACATGGTCTGACACTGTGCTTAAAGAGACTTTGGGATTGATTTATTAAAACTGGAGAGTGAAAAATATGGTGCAGCTGTACATGGTAGCCAATCAGATTCTAACTTCAGATTGTTCAATTAAGCCTCGGCAAAAAAAAATGGAAACTGATTGGTTTCTATACAGAGCTGCACCAGATTTTTCACTTCCCAGTTTTAGCAAATCAATCCCTTTGTCACTTTGCCCACTTATAATCATGGGTTCCTTTCTAAGAAACTCCCCCACTCACTTATACTCAACTATCCAGAACTCCTTCACTGAACACTGGTCCATCAAAGTGCTATGTCCTAACCCTGTGTAAGCGTCATGTCAAAAGGAGTTACCATCTTCCTCTTTGTGGTTAGGTGATGGTGTTTGAACCTAACAACAGACTCAGAAGCTGCATCCTGGGAAGAAGCCATATGCTTCTCCATTCTCGGAAAGAGTATGTATTTACTAAACACTCTGACCCAACACTGCAGTTGCAGGGTTGCATGGAGAAGTGAGTAGCAGCAGGTGTGTGTGTGTGTGCGGGGGGGGGGGGGGGTATTGCATTGTCCCACTTCAAACCACTGTTCAGGTGCCATACAG